ATTCGATTTACTAATTAAACGAATCACAAGATTTACATTCGCTCGTATCATTCGACGATCTTGGATTATTAAATAATTAACCCTTTGCCCTCGAGGGGCTTACAGTCGCCACCTGATTCGACGCAGCAAACTTATAAAATGTTCAATTCAATATTAAACCTTGTGTACCGTATCAACACATAAAACAAAGTAAAATAGTTCTGTCTCTTAATTTCTATAAGATAATCAATTGTGTTGGTTGCGAAAAATATCGTTAATACTCAGAAAGTAATGAATATTTTTAATGAAAAATATTGTCGAGTGCAAAGGGTCAATAGAATCATTGAAATATCAAATTTACACGATGAAATGTTATCGTTTCTGGAAACGAGTGTCTTGTACACCTGATTAAGCACACCTCGAAACGTGGTCGCCAGGTGAATATTGGAAAAAAACCGTTCGCGAAGTTTGTCCCAGATAACGGGCCGCTTGTTTCTGAAGCACAGAGCTCGGACTGGTCCGAGGAAGTCTCGGGTCCGATGGCCTCGCCGCACATGAATTAATAAATATGCCGTATCGCGGTGCTTCGGTTGCTCGTTAATTTAAAGTTAAACGTGTAATCGTGCGATAAAGAGTGTTCCCTTGCATACGTATCTTTGTATTATTTATTTTCGCATGCATGACAAGTGCCAATCGACTTGGAAGCGTATCACAACTTTTGCGTGCTCTCCTCGCAATCAGACACAGCGTGTAAAGTCATCAGGGAGGATTTTATAAATTGAACAGATCCCGTGCTCTACACTCAGTTTTATTATACTTGTATTTATGTGTTTCTATTCTGTTCTAAATTACCATTTCATCTGTCTGTTTATACATATATTTTCAATGACTCACTCACTCACTCACTCTCTCTCTCTCTCTCTCTCTTTCTCTCTATCTATTTAGAATTATATATATATATATATATATATATATATTCTTTCGCAAATTTTATTTCTTGTCTGCATTCTTTTTAACGATACAACAATACGAGTTTCAATCTTTTAATTCTAAACGTGAAATCAAATCGACGAGTTTGCATTGATCGGTAAGAAATGTTTGTTCCGATACTTGTTGTAACACCTGAGAAATAGAATTTCGACGTCTTCAAGAATGCAGGCGAACTCGTGTGTGTTTTGTCTGTAACAAATGGAAGCGTATGATTTTTCTTTCTTTCCTTTCAAGTTCTATCTCTCCAATTAGTTGGTACGCGAAGTTAATCAGGAATTATTCGAACGATACATTCGTGATTAACTTCCATTGATTTTGTATTGAACAACATGGCGAAATAATTCTCTTGTTTTATTTTCATTTTGTACTATAGTAGTAGCGAATAATGTGTTTATATGCGTTGAAATGTTTAAGCGATCGATGTACCGCGTAATCATATTTCCTTCTTTTTTTTCATGAATGTACATAATGATTATGGTGTATAAAATAAAAGATAAGAAACCTCCGTTTTCTTTCGATTTCCGAGGAATATTGAATTTCGTCGAAAACATTGTGCACCGAGTATACTAATAAATATATATATATATAAATATAAATATATATATATATATATTTTTAGTAATCGTTTCACACGACCACACGATGATTTGTATAATAAAGATTATTTTGTGATAATAATATTCGTGTTTGTACGACCACTTGTGTGTGTTTCATCGGGGATTAGATTTCATTGGGAACGCAATTGCAAGTAAGTAACGCGCAAACAGGGGAGGAAAATGAGAGATGCTTTGTGTAAGAAGTTCTCGTTGAACGATTTCTCATTTCAACTGGAAACATACGAAGTAACGTTGTATCTGACGAATGCTAGAGATGCCATTTGTTCCATTTCACTTTTTCTGTTCCACACTATTGTAAATACCTTTCTTAGATGATTATTTATAAAAGTGTTTCTAGTATAAACTAAAAGAACTTGGATTTTTACAATTAATGATATTGTATTCCGCTACTCTTAGTCGAATCTGTAAATAACTATATAAATAAATCCGTAACAGTTGAATTTTATTAATGGTTCGTTTTATCAATGGTCAATGGCGCTTTACCGTTTATAATTTCGCGATGAACGATAATGTTCGATCTGAAATTATTAAACAATAATGCCAGGAATATATATATATATATATATGTACATGTATATGTATGATAGAAATTGTGTTAATTACCTTCCGAAATGCTCGGTTTCTGTGAGATTCTGAGCGACACACTTTATTCTAAAATGAAAGGTTTCAAAAGATTCTTTGGTAATTTGTAAGTAATTTTACTACTACAAGCAGACTGAAAATTCACCAATACACATCACCAGTTCCAACAATTTCACTGACATTGCATAAACTCTCACATTACTGTAATCTCAGAGTGTGAACAATAAAATGTAATTATAGAATTCAGAGACAACGTAACAAAAGGGTCTATCTCTATGTTTACATTTATGACGTTATTAATATATGCGATCTAAGATGTCACGCTTAACTTAAGTAAACATGAAAATGGAAAGAAAGAAGAAAAAGAAAAGAAAAAAAGAAGCACGCAAACGATTCGAAATTCGTATGATTCTATGCAGCATTATATATAAAGAAAATGAAGTATTTTATTAGGGCAGTTTGTATACGCAACCGTGAGCCGATTGTGTATACAAATAAATTACAACTGTGCTTTCACTGAGAGACTTATTATTCAACTTCCAAATCCTGTACGTATCCTTCCGTTACACTTGAAATATAAACATATAAATGACAATGGAATGTGTTTAAACATTATTCTTGAAAATGTGTTTAAATAATTTTAATATTATAAAATGCATCGTGTTTGTTATATTTCATTCTTTCAGTTTTCGTATCAGATACAGCTTAAATTGAAAATTCTTTTTTGATCTTACCTTATTGAAAATTCTGCCCCAATTGCGTTATATAAAAAAGAATTGCATGCACATTCATAGAATATTTAATTCTAATATAGAAATTCGTATTCTCACAGTTTTTGAATTTCTTAAAATTAGTTCTCTGAAAAATTTCTGTTCGTAAACACAAAGTGTTTTATAGAAAACAGAAACAGGCCCTTTTGTCGTATGCTCACTGTAATGAGGTATAAAGACACGAAGACTTAGCTATAAAGATCATCGTCACCATCGTCTTGGAAGGTTTGATCACCTTGCGTTGTATCTTGAGTACCGCTTGTACCGCCTTGCGGAAATCTGAAAGAGACACACACACACAAACGTGTCAATATAAATATTGTTAATTTACTTAATAGAATTTAGCGAATCAATGTAGACGTTTCTCACCTAAAATTAGTTCCAAATCCACGCGACTGTTGAAGCGTTTGTGCAAACATTTCATATTTACGAATATCATTGTCGGACACCGAACGTCGAGCGAACCTCATCGCTTCCTCAAAATGAGCTCTGGTTATTTCTGGCACGGGATCGTCTTCGTCCATCTGTAATGATCAATCAATTAGTAATCAGTCGTACTTTCTTATCGCATCTCATTGTTCTATACACTGCCTCGAAAAACTATATACTTACATCCATAGATGCAGATGGATTATTGGCACGTTCCTTTTCTCTTCGAAGTTCAGTTTCGATGCTTTGCCTTATAGCGAGCTTACACGCGCGTTGACAAATTTCTGTTATATCGGCACCCGAGAAACCGTGCGTTACTTTAGCTATATAGCTTAGATCTACATCCTGTAATGTAATTAATCAATGCAACTGATACTCTATTATCAAATCGCATCTATTTGTTAATCGATCATTTTATATCCGTTACCTTAGCTACAGGCGATTTTCGCAGATTGGCTTTGAAAATTGCTTCGCGTGATTTCTCATCTGGCAGTGGTATATAGATCAACTGGTCTAATCTACCAGGTCGTAAAATAGCAGGATCGATGATATCAGGCCGATTAGTAGCTCCTATGATGAAGACGTTTTTCTTTGCTCCCATTCCATCCATTTCGGTTAGAATTTGATTTATAACACGATCCGCTGCTCCTCCGGCATCTCCTACCGTGCCACCGCGAGATTTTGCGATAGAATCGAGTTCATCGAAGAATAATACGCAAGGAGCTGCTGATCTTGCCTAGAGAATTTCATGAGTTAACACTTCAAAGTCCCATAAACTTGTTTTCAAATTACTTACCTTATCGAAAACATCCCGGACGTTGGCTTCAGATTCACCGAACCACATGGTTAGCAATTCTGGACCCTTTACAGAAATAAAATTCGCTTGACATTCATTGGCTATCGCTTTAGCCAACAATGTTTTACCACAACCTGGAGGCCCATAGAATAATACACCTCGCGACGGTTGCATACCAAACTTCAAGAATTTCTCAGGATGTTCAACTGGATACTGCATAGTATAAAATGAAATTATTATTTAATAATTATTTACTTTAACGTACGATTACCGAACGAATCATTTAATAGACTTCTTCTTACCTGTACCAATTCCTGTAATTCCATTTTAACATTTTGTAAACCGCCAATGTCCTCCCATGTAACAGTTGGAACTTCCACGATGGTTTCTCGCAAAGCACTTGGACTGCTCTTAGTCATTGCATACTAAATTATAGACATAACAAGTGGTACAAACGTTAATCGCTATGTACGGAGATTAATGCTTCTCATTTCGTGATGTTTAACAGATACACTTACCTTGAAGTTATCCATAGTAACAGCAAGAGAAGATAAAACTTCAGCATCTACGTGATCATCTTCTAGATCAATGAGATCCATTTTCTCACGAATTTGTTGTAACGCTGCTTCAGAACATAATGAAGCTAAATCAGCTCCAACGTGACCATGAGTTTCCGATGCGATCTAAAAGGAATTATTAAGTTACAGGACAATATTCAAATTACCAGTTTAATAGTTTTATCAATTATGTAAACCTCTTCTAATTCAACGTCATCGGCAAGCTTCATATTTTTAGTATGAATTCTTAAAATTTCTAAGCGACCAGTCGCATCAGGTATACCAATATCAATTTCTTTGTCAAAACGTCCGAAACGACGTAATGCTCCATCGATACTGTTAGGGCGATTAGTAGCAGCCATAACGATAACATGAGAACTCTGTTTCATACCGTCCATCAAGGTAAGCAGTTGAGATACAATACGTCTTTCTACCTCTCCGTGTGTCTAAAAAAAAATATGTATATACGTGTATAGTAAAAGTTATGTACTTAATTTGAAATTTAATAAAGTTTCGTCATCAAACCTTTTCTCTTTTTGGAGCAATAGCATCAAGTTCATCTATGAAAATTATAGCTGGTGAATTCTTCTCAGCTTCTTCAAAAGCTTTTCTTAAATTACTCTCGGATTCTCCAGCAAGTTTACTCATGATTTCAGGACCTATGAATACAGAGTATAATAAACTTTCGAATCAAGATATTATTTTTAACATTAACTTACCATTGATAAGGAAAAAGAAGGCGCCTGTTTCATTTGCCACAGCACGAGCGATAAGAGTTTTTCCTGTACCAGGTGGGCCATATAAAAGAATACCACGTGGTGGTTTGACACCAATAGCTTTGAATAAAGATGGATGTCGCAAAGGTAATTCTACCATTTCCTTAATCTGAGCTAACTGTTTGCGAACCCCACCAATGTCATCATAACCCACTGCATTTAATGCTTCTTCCTCCTCCTATAAAATATAAGATGTTATAATATTATGAAAATCTGTAGATAAAACCTTCATTGATTCTTACAGAATATTGTTTCACTAACCTCTCTCTTAATGGGATCACCTTCACAATGAATCACTGTATCTGGTGCAACGATACAGAATGGCCCAGGATCTGTTTCTACAACTTTAAATTCTACTGCACGCATACCACCGCGTACAATGAAATTGTCATCTTTATGAATAGGACGATATGCTTCCAGAAAGTATGGCTTTAAATATACTTCAAACAAATTTCTACAACAAATGAAAGTTACTTCATTAAATTTGTCTACTGAAGTAAATGCAGCATCTCTACTTTAGAAAAACCAATTGAAATTCAAACTTCAAAATGTTCCTGACATTATATAAAATCTGCTACATTAAAGGCTACTGATTTTTACCCTGTAAGACCAATCATGGTATCATCCAATGGCAGCACATGAATACGTTTCCCATATTTAACTTCTGGACATGCTTGTACAGAAACAACGTCACTTAAACGTACTCTTAAGTTATTTCTGATAACACGATTCATACGAATTTTTTCATCTGGACAGTTATCATCAGAAAGTACAATGCATACTGTTTCTTTACGTCGTTTGCCTTTCAGCAATACCGTATCTCCTCTAAATAGTTGTAATTCATCCATTTTTGCTTGAGATAAAGCCACAACAGAATTATCATCTGCGATAGCCTCATCAACCAATAATCTGTTAGGCTTATCCTTCTTTCGAAGAATTGCCGTCGCCAAATCCTCTCCGCTATAAATATAAAACATTCAGTTTAATGTACCTTACAAAGAATAGTATATATTATTACTCCATTGTCAAAAATTCGTTTAATATTTTTGATAGAAAAATAAATACCTTTCCATAACAAAGGTTTAAATTGATGGAAATATCTATTGTAATCTTAAAATTAATATTCCTATACATTCTTTGTGTTTAATCATACTTCTTACAGCACAAATCAATATTTATTATACAAAGTATTCGGATCCTTTATATATATATATGTATATATATATGTATGTACAATAAAATTATTTTTACATGCTATTTTTAGAATATTTTCAAATGATCAAACTGGCCTTTAGTTAAATCCTAATTATTCTACAAGTATGATGTTCATTTTGGTCTTATTAATGTAAAGTACTCAATAATATACAACAGTATGTTTATTGAGTCTATAAATAACAAAACTGAATTCTAACGATGAAAGATTCCTATAATTAATCTTTCGTGAATAATTGGACAATTATAACCCACAGTTCTGTCTCATTAATATAATAAAACGTAAATATTTTATTCAGTATCAATTGTATTAAAGATTTAGGCTAATAAATATATATATATATATTTTATATTCGTTCGAATTCGTTAGAAAGTTAACGATTATCATAATTCAAAGGATGAAATGTTAAAATCTTTGGAAAATTCCCTTGTCATGACTAACGTTTTGTACGGCCATGATCAGTCGGTTCGCAAAAATGATAAGCAAGATCTTTGTCATTATGGTCTACAGGTATGATAAGTATTTGTCTACTAGGATAAATCGAGTTATACAGCATAAAATTCTATTGGCGGTACGTATTTTTTGGAAGAATCTATCAAAGGACGCGTTGCGTCGACATGATGACATCGTAAAATTGGAAGCCAGCATGGATGCATTTTATTTGCATACTTCATCTTCGCGCTTTCGGGTAGTAGAATGAAAATTGTTACAGCTATTATCAAGCTTAGTATTTTATTAGATATTTTCGCTCACCTTTTCTGCTCACTCATTCTTTATCTGACTTGAATGCAAAAAGTGTACACGCAATGATCACAACTCAATATCGCACCACGTATGTACGAGTCAACGACACTTACAGTCGATCCAATGAACATCCCTCATTTAAACTTTCATGCCTTGCATTGGACTCCGCTGTTGCTGAATCAGAAACTTCGGGCGAATTTACAACAGAATCAACAATTTTAGCTTTACATTGTTATTTAGATTTTAATTAAGAAGTTTATTATCGAATTGAAATTTAGTCGAGATCTTTTGAAATTTAAGCAAACGTTTCGAAACTAATTTCACGAATATAAAATGAATATCAATGTATGAATAAATTTTATTTTATTGTTAATTACGTCCTAGGTACTCGCTTAAATGTAACAATATAATTAAATAATAATTTTATTACGGCTATTCTTGATTATTATTTTTTTGGTGTGTTCATGAGTATGAATTTCCAGAAATATAAAAATAAAATTCCATAGTTTTTAAACAAAAGCACTTTTATGTACTATACGAAATGCGATATTAATGGTAAATAATATGTTATTAAATTGATGCTATTGGTATTAAATGACGTAAAAAACTTTTAGGTTTGAAAGTGTACAAGGCTTTAGGTGGCTTACGTCACAAACATCCTGAAAGTGTAAATTCGATATTCGTATTTGTCAAATTGGTTTATGATGGCTGGGATTAAAGGTCATAAGTTTGATCATTTAAGTTTAAAATTATTAAATTTATAACATTCAGAAAAACCGACATTCTTGCAAAAATTTATTATAAGAAATGAATTAAATGGATATGTTGAAGTATAACCTTGCTGCTCTTGTTGTCATGGATGAAAACTTCCTGCATATAAACAACGTGTATTTACTAATACGTTCTACAAGATAATTATTTAAATATCTATTTTTCCACTTTAATTCTTTATCTCTTTAACTCTTAACTGTGATCTATGTACAGTTTTTGGAATTTATAAAAACCATTTGTACACAAAATTATATATTTAAAATAATATACTAATAATTGGAACCTCTGCATTTTATAAATCCTTTAATACGTCTTATTTTTCAGTCTTTCAAAGTTATAAGAAATATCTTTTTAGAGTGTTCTAGAGGAAGTATAGTTTACATATGAAAGAAAACTGACACTGTCACAAAATTTAACATAGTAGAAAATGATATGTAATCTTAATTTATGTAAATTACTTTTTGTTTCATGCCTTTAAATGTCTTCATCAATAAACAGCGTGAGTATTTTCAAATACCTTTCTAATCTATGTTTCACGACGTATGTGAATTATAGAAAAAAATTTTTTATAGATTAGTACTTTTGGCATTTAGTGGGTCCATTGGTATGACATTTGTCATACTCGGCTGTGCTTTACCAACTTTTAACAAGTAAGTAGCATTGTTATCATAAAAATACTTATTTCTTTTTGTATTGTATCGATTAAATCAAATTACATTAACTCTTATATTATTTTCAGAGTATGGTGGCCATTTTTTGTTGTATTATTCTATGCATTAGCACCAGTTCCAACTATAATTGCGCGTCGCTGTACACATGATAATGGCAATGCTAGTAATCCATGTTTGGAATTGGCTATATTCATCACAATGGGATTTCTTGTATCATCATTTGCTCTTCCAATCGTATTGGCAAGATCTCCAGCTACTGACCCAGTGGTATATCTGATTTATTTATATCTTTTAATATTTTAATGATGGTATTTAATAAGAATATGTATTTTCAGATTCAATGGGCTGCTTGTTACTTGACTTTAGCAGGTAATATTGTTGTATATCTAACTCTAGTCGGATTTTTTATAACCTTTGAACAGGAAGATGTTGGATACAACGCGTGGTGAAAAGTTGTACTTCATTGTACTTATTTATTAATTTTACATGGTAATATTGCCAATAAGTTTCTGCTGTATTTAACTTTCTAATCAATTTTGTATATGCCATTTAAACACTTTTAGGTTTTTTACAAAATGAACGGAAGGATGTAAACCATACACTATAATAATTAACAATAATACATTAATTCTAAGTCATCCGAAAATTTATAATGTACTATTTATATAATATAAACATTGATATGAACTGTTTATATTATAGCCAATAAGCTACCATGTGGTGATTAAAGTTACAATTTTTCATTGCACAGAATTTCTTACAAGTTTCTTTAATAAAGTTGAAAATAGAAATATAGTGCAATGTGTGCAATTTTACACAAATTTATAATTAAGTCTAAATTAATTCTTAAAAAAAAAGTCATAATTAATTCTTTAAAACTTTAATGTTTATAAATGAAAAATATTTGTATAAGAATGGTTATTGCGTATAACCATATGCTATTAATGTGAAAGCAATGTCAATGATTAATGAAGTATTTTATGAACTATATAATATTAAAATAGATATAGAAATACTAACTAAATAAATAAAGAAATTTTTCTCTTTATGGTATGTTACCTATTACACAGTCTACTTATGTGCAGTAATATTCAAATTTCATGTATTATTATACTTTCATGGAATTTTATACTTCATATTATTGACAACAATATTAACAACATCTGTGTAACAAAAGTAATCCATAGAGATAACATCCAATCATAATATTCATTACAATAACGTTTGTAAGAACAGGAGAACATACAGGGTGGGTGAAATAAAGTGTTGCAAATTGTTTTTTCCAAAACTACAGTAAATACCAACTTCATTTTTATTTTCTCTAATTGAGTAAAATAATAAGGCTAATTAGTGAATTAGATGGTGATAGCTTTAACTTCTTACTGTTCTTATGTATCAATTCCTTAGCCTGCATTTAGATACTCTTATATTTTTACTTTCTTGTGAGCTACTGGAGATACAGCAACCTCTCCGATCTTATCTCACTATGAATTTTATTGTTTTAACTCGCCCGTTCCCTTATTACTTTATTAAAATACTTTAATTTATTTTTTATCAATTGGATTTAGAATTTTCAATTGTTATATGTCACATAAGAATCATTGATACATCTATGTATGTGTAAATGATATTAATCATAATTAAATAATAAAAAGTGATTTATAAACCAAACCATTTAATGTAATGATTACTACTAATTATTCCTATGACGTATCGCACAAATGAAACTCTATAATAATTAAAAATCTGAAAATTCTGATGACATTTTTTTCAAATTTCAGCAAATCATACTATTCAAGTAATTTGCACAAAATGGATACAAACGCAAATAAATTTACGAATTTATAAAAGCTTTATTTTTCATATTGGTTGTGGATTTAATACATAAAAGTAATTAGAGTAAAATTTACTACCAAAATTTTACACATTTAGTTATTAAATAATAATTATGTGAGTTGCGTTTTCAAAATGTTCTCTTATTGATTCCTTAAAAGCGTCAATATTGATTTATTAAAGATAGCTTGATGTGCAATGTATTAAATGTATGAAAAAATAATTTTATAATTTATGTGAGTAGAGAAATTATATTTCTGGAAAAATATTTTTAATACTGCAATTTTTTCATAAAGATACTGACTTAATATCAATAATTATTTATATTAATAATTTTAAATTACACGAA